TCCCTACCCCCAGTGTTCAGAGAAGGTGATGACCTTGTTAACAAATTTAAAATGCTTGTGTACTTGGTCAACCCCAAAATTATTTTGTCTCTAAATATTGAACTTGGTACATATCTATACCTGCATGTGGAGCAGTGTCAAGGCTGTGGTTGAATAAATCTCGTATGGCAATCTAGTATTGCTAACCAGAAGGTACTGAAGGCTAATGGGAAGTACTTCAAAGTGTTCCTGCAGCTGAAGTGTCTACTAGACTGGGAAGAAAAGGAGACAAGACTTTAATAAATATCACAGCAAATATATACAAGCTCCCTGAAGAGGGATATTTCCTTCTAGGAGATGCTACTTAACACCTATACTGGCAACAATAACATCATTTTATCTTACTGGATGCTTAAGTTGTTGTCAGTGCCTAAAGGCTACAGTCAGTTTTGGGACCAGTTGCAGTAGGCACTCACTCAACACTGCATAATTCTTTTTTTTTTTAATCTGGTCATGTTGGAAGTTAATTGTTGCACAGTATGCATTTCATTCATGAACTAAAACAATGAGATGACAGATATTTAAATATCGCTGGCATGAATCAATTATCAGAGAGAGGTAGCTAGCTGTGATAATCTGAAGTCGGTCAGAAGAAAGGGTAGATGCACACTTTTATAGACTTACTAAATAAGATTTGAGAGAGTGCATGAGTGCACAAGCTTTTGTTAACCCAAGTTCATGTCATCAAATGCTGTGAAAAGCTTATGAATCAATTATCAATTATGGCATGAACAGTAAGTTGCAGCTGTGGAAGCTGTTTGGAAGAGGAAAGCCATGGAAGATTTATTTCAAAGTCAGTTGTTTGCAGTTAAAAAAAAAAACCGAATGTCTTTGATTTATTCTGGTGTGACAATTTTCCTATACATAAGGTTACTCAGTATGCATTTACTATTACTTACTATTAATCCTTGTTCTTTGTTCTTGATACTCTCCCAAGACAATGCCCACTCAGCTTGGGATGACCTATTGGAAATGTTAACATCAAACAAGATGTCGACAATTCAACAAACAAAATGGGCCTTCGTTGCACCCAGGTTCCCATTAAGGAGAATGGAATGCCTCAATGTTCACCCTGTACTTGAATGTATTGGTCAGATGTTCCTTTTTATAGCAAAGCATTTGAACAAGCAGAGTTCATGCCTTGGCTGTGTTGTCCCAGCTTGGAGCGATAGGAGTGTTCCACATGTAAAATTCAATGACCAGGGCAGGGAAGGAACAATTTTACTAAGCAATTTGCTCTCTCAAGCAATTTGAGGGAGTCTCTAGAGAGCTGGAGTTCCATGATATGCACTTCGTAGGCCAGAACGTTATCTGAGGCTTCTATAAATGGGAGCTGTTTGGTTGGAAGACAATGCCATTCACAAAAACAAGACTTGGTGGTGAGGGTTTACAAAATGGAGACACAAAAATATCTTGACTCCAAGTCAGTGATATTCTGCTCCAAATGGGATACTGACCTAAGAAGGTCTTGATTTTTGCTACAACTTGGCAAAAAAGCAACTGTGTGTTGGTCAGTTATTCTGAATGCTATTGGCTGCTCCTTTGTATGCAGGTTGACCTGCTTGATGACAACAGCTACAACATAATGCTGGATTTCAATATTCAAGAAATCACATGCTCTAAAGATTCAGAGAGAGACCCATCTACCTGTGACTTCAAAACAGGGCCCTATGCGGTGAGTGCAAGTTTTGTGTCTTTTTAATCAACATTAGTGACAATGATTGACAGTGACATATGCCTAAGCAAATGCTTAACCTGAAGCATTAACCAAATGGTGTTTGAGCACCAGCAACACTGCAAATTTGTATTTTAGTTAACTGGGAGGAGGTGAGGAACTGAGGTTTGATCTGAGAGCTGGTGGACTTTGCTTGACTTTGGGTTTAGACTGTATGTGTTTGGAGACAGGCTGGCAGTGTAAGTTTCGCAACAAATACTCGAAAGTAATTACCAACATACTGAAGGGCTGAAAAACTCCTATTTGACTTTTCTTCACCACATCTAACTCAGATGGATGAGAGAAATGTGCCACTCAAAAAACCCCATCAATATTCAACAATCAAAATTGGATAATTTGGACGGAATGGGGAAAATGCTCATAGACATGGTTCTGGGTCAGATCCACCTTCTGAGATATCTGTAAGCCTCAACACATAACAGGCAGTAATTCTTCAGGGTTACATCAAAGTGATGACAAGATAATCAAGTAATTTGCTTAGTGCATTATCATAATCTCTACTCAGAGAAATGTATTCAGCAGCCTTCTTTCCCATCTCAGTGCTAGGAGCTCCAAGCCAGTTCATGTGCAAGGTAAAGGGGAAAAAAGAGATGATTGGACCAAGCAAACATTATTTTGTATCTCCTCTCTGTCAACATAGCTGCCATGCTGAAAGATGCTTTTTTAGGGAAAAAAAAATCCATGGCAGAAGAATCTCTCTTACTTTTTGCTCTCAGTGAAGAAGTTAATCATAGATTATAAAGCCAGATGTGGTCACTGCGATCTAGTCTCACTTCCCATATGACAGTTAATTGACCTTCCCCGAGTTACACTCTAAGTCAATCAAACTTTATTTTGTAGAATGCATTTAATCTTGATTTAAAAATTCCCAGTGATGAACAATCTTCTACAGTTATTAGCAAGCTGTCCAGAGAGTTAATTCCCCTCATTCTTAAAAATTTGCACCTTATTTCTAATTTGAATTTGTCTAACTTCAACCTCCAGGCAGTGGATTTTGATTTATAACTTTGTCAGCTAGACAGAAATAACCATCCCAAGATTGTTTCAGTCATTGCTACCCAGGAAAGTGTCCTATGTCCTACTGTGCTATAAGATGACCGTAACTGTGGAAAACAATGGCTTGGAGGATAATTACATTTTATTAAACACCAGTGTTTATTTGATATTGTTCAACCAGCACTGGTCTAGGACAAAAAGCAACTGTAGCTTAAGGTTACTTTCTTCTACATACTTTCTCATCCTGAGCTATGCTGCATGCTAGCCTATTTCTTAGAATAAAATAGAATGGAAACTACTTCATGTCCCATTAATCCTGCTCATTCTGCTCTAGCAGCAAAAGAGAAGTACAATAACAGATACTTCACCAGATTTTCAACAGTCCAGATCCATCAAGCTTATCACTGCTACTGGGCCCATCCACAGCACCCAGAGGGCAGCTGAGAAGCTCACTCAGTATTTTGACTTTTTCCCTACCATTTGACCTTCTTTCATATTCACTTTATCAACTTGATTTCTGTGACATAAAAGTGCAACCAAGGTGTTACTTCATGAATTATCACCCATGGAATCCTGAACTGTAGACATTGGGTGAATCTGATTTTGTTTCTTTGCTACTTGTTGGCCAGCTTGGCAGCTCCAGCTGAATGGCTAATGCCAAGTAAGCCCCAAAGGCCCATCCAAGAGCTAGTCCTTGAGTTACAGGTTTGACTGTGGTGGCTCTTGAATCAGGGGTAAACCTGACATCAACTGTAAGTACAGCTCCTTTGAAGACAAGCCCCCTGTGCTTATTTATTTTTTTCAAGAATATCTGTTAGCAGGGTGTGCTGAAGAGATTCCATCACAGAGCCACTCCAAAACCAAGACTCACATTTATATTATTATTGTGGCACCACATCCGCGGTGTCTGCCACTTTAACGGCCATTGAGCAGCCAACAGGTCATCTGGCAGGTGCCGGGTAGGCCTAATGAGGTGGTCACCTGGCTGCAGGATGGCCCTGGGATTGGAGGATGGGGCTGAGCAGCTTCCATTTTAGACCCAGGCCCTCAGAGCTGTAACAGAAGTCTGCTGCAAGCAGTCAAAGAACAACACCTGGCTGAGCTGCTGCTCAGAACACCCTGGAGGTAATGGCAGGAGCTATGGGGATGGCAGGAGGCTCCTGGTCCTGGGTATGACTGAAAACTGCACTTTGCTGGTGAAGGATGACCTGGTGGGACTGCCCGTGTTGGGGCAGTTCCCCAGAAATGCCAGGCCAGTTGCCTCCCCAGTGAAAGGCAGGTAGGGGTGTGTAATAACACCAGCCCCCACACCCTGGTGGGTTATCCAGGGTAGGGGCCAGGCATGTCTCTGGACACCTGAGCCCCATGGGGTACCAGATCTTGGTAGAAAGTGGGGGCTAGGCACATCTCTGGACACCTGAGTCCCATGAAGTACCAGACCCCAGTAGAAAGTTGGGACAGGCACACCTCCAGATACCTGAGCCCATAGGAGGTAAAGACCCTGGTGGCCTCAATGAGGGGAGGGGGGGGGCAGGAAGCATAGTGATTCAAGTAGAGAATGGCCTGTATACAGTAGGGTGCATGTGGAATACCTGAAGTGCTGTGCATGTTTGGTGTAGAGTAGGGTCTGATAAGGAGGACCTGAAGAGCTGTACTGGGGGTGTGCTGAGTAGGAGGCAAGAGTGCGACCTGAAGTGCAGCACATGGGCTAGTCCCCATGAGAAACTGCCTTAAGGGTGAATCCTCAAAGAGGGGGCAGCCAGGCCCAGGTAAGTCTACAGAAGCCTGAGGTTGCAATTGGACCAGAGGCCATGTTTGTAATAGAATTCAGACCTGCCAGGGTGAGCACACAATGACCATATGCTCTAGTGTGGAGTGAGAGTCCCAGTGAGACTCTGGAGCACCAGTCATGGTGTGAGGCACTGTAATGATTTGGATGACAACTGCAAGGCATGGGACATAAGGGAAGGTTGGAGTCATGTGTATCACCCTAGGCATCAGGCATTAAAATGGGCAGCCTCCCACCATTTACATCAATCTTTTATACAACAAGTCATGGTTTGCAAGAGTTGGGAGGATTGTCCAGAACAGGTGAGTGGGCCAAGGATGTTTCCTGGCCCCGAGTAGACAGCCTGTTATAATAATACTGTGATTTTTTGATTTTTTTTTTCCAGATTCAGGGCTCTGGTTGTAAATAGTGCTCTTGCTCAAGTCCCTAGTCTTGGTACACAGGCTTTTTCTAGTCAGCTGTCTTTGTCTGAATCTGAAGTAAACTTGTACTGTAGCCTATGCAGCCATATGGATGAACTCTATTTCAATCCATTACAGCAAGCTGCTTTCTGCAGAAGTACAGTATATGTCTCTGAAGAACAGATTCAGAACTTGGCAGTCCATTGCCACCAGGACTCGTCGAGCTCAGAATCTGCAAGCAGTGAGGAGGTAAGCAAGAAAAAAAAAATCCCCTTGCCATGCACCTTAATCTAGAGGGTAATTTCTAGGGCTGTGCAAAATGGCTGTATTTCATTTCAGTTTTAGATTCAGACATTTTGGAGGACAGTGATTTGTTTCAGTGTTTTGGATCACTGTTCCATTTTGATTTGGCCAAATCTGTTTCAGAGTTCGGCACTGATTTGGATTGGCTGGGGAGAGGCAGGCACAGTCGGGTGGCTGCAGGTTCTCCCGAGGTTCCTCCAGCTGTGCCTGCCTCTGCCCCGATGGGGGGAGCTGCAGGAGAAGCCCCCATGGCTGCCCTGCCCAGCCTGATCCCCCACCTGGCCCCAGTTAGCCAGAGCCCAGCACCACCCACCCCAGTAGCCCCAGCTCCCAGACAGCGCACAACACCCTGCTGAGCTAAGCTGCACCCACACCATGGGGCAGCTGCCGCACAGATGCCGGGTGGAGGGGATGATCCCCACTGCCCCATGCTCTGCAGGGGGGCTCTGCCATGAGCCCTCAGAGGCCCTGATCACTGCTACTGCAGCCAGTGAGTATGGGGCTTTTTGTTTGGTTTTTTTTTAAAGTGCTAGGAGGTTAGCCCCATCCCCCACCTGGCCCCAGCCTCCCAACACTTTAAAAGGAGGGCTGCAGGGCTGCACTGGACTATTCCTGGGGGGCACCCCTGAAACATTCCAAAACATTTCGTATGGCTTAATTTCATTTTGGAGATGTTTCAGAGCCTTCCATTTAGTTTCAGACTTGGTGTTTTGGGGGCCGAAACAGGCCCAAACACCTCCAAAATGAAACATCTGTCGAAATTTTGCACAGCCCTAGTAATTTCTGCCTGATACAAATGCTTTGTCCTCCTCCCTTTAACATTTAATAGGAGTGGATATGCATATTTGAAGACAGAATTTGTAACTTGACCGTATAAGCTGCTCCATTAACATGGTGAGGGCTTAAGACAAATACCTAAATCTTAGGTGGCAGAATCTCAGAGCAGTTTAGGAAAGTAATTGTCTTTTCCACATTTTACGGATCCGGGGGACTGAAGCAAAGATGTGAGGTGATGTGAGTTGCCTGAGGTCAACAGCAGCAATGGCCATCTTAGGAACACAACCCAGGTCTCTGACCAATGCTCTGCTCAACAGACTAGTTGGTTTCAAACTTCTTTGCCTACAAACCCCTTTACCAGCAAAACACTGCTGTGAGTAACCCCTACATCTGAAGCATCTCTACATTTTCATTCCTTAGGAAGCTTGTTGACACTGATATCAACATGTGCAGTGCCATTTCTCACCGTGTATTGACCAGTCAGAAACTCTGTTGCTGTCATTAAAATGAGCACATACCCCTTGGCAAAGCACTGCATACCCCAGAGGGATAGGAGTATCAGACAGACAGGGTCTCTGACTGTCTAGCAGCTTTCCTTTGCTGTGATCTCTAGACTGAAGTACCGTTGAGTCTTTCTGGTTGTAATTCAAATTTCAGTCTAAAAGCTGTATGTGGTTTGGTAAGTCATCTCTAATCATGCTTAATTCTGATCAGCTGGAATATTTGACCTTGCTTCCCCGATCCCTTAAATTGCTGTGATAGTCTAGAGTATCTGCCAACTCTGATCCTCATTCTGTGTAAAATATTGTATGTGTATGCCTAGGGATGCTGATTAGTATGTCTTATCAACAGAAACAAATATTCTGTCTCTGTTACCAAACCACTCCTAAACCAACCATATAATGTTATAACTGCAGGGGTTTCACTCAACTGGGATTTGGGTTCCATACTTTTCTTCATTTTTGAGCTGCCTGGTTTGAGGTTTAGGCTTGAGTAAATGCTGATCAGAATTTCAGAGCTCAATCTGGCTTTGTTTCAAAGCAAACAAACTTGCAGACTTCTTGAAAAAAAAAAAAAGATGCCAAATCAGGTTTATCTGCAACTAGGGGCCAGCTCATGTACCACCAGAAAAATGTGTACCTGCATTTCTGATTTGTAACTAAACAAACCCAGTGCGGGCTGAAACATGTCATGTTCAGGGCTGAACATTTTTCACCATTCTGTCTCTTTTTTATTGCCAGCCTGTTACAAGTTGTGACAGATAATTACATTCAGAAATAAAGATAGCATTTCAGGCATAATGCCAGGACATAAGGACAGCTTGTGCTGTTGGTTAAATGCTGGAACTGAATGTCTAACTTGTATAAATTGGATCAAATTTCCTACCCCTCTCTTTTTGAGTTCTCAGTAAAGCTTACAATTTTCTTATGTATTTCCTATTCAAATCTAGGCAGATAATAGCACTGAAGGAGGACATTTGAAGTATTTGAAATGCAAAAAGTTTGGGATGTTGATTTTTGTTTCCTTATAGGTTAAGCCTAATACTTTTTAAATTGAGTTTTCAGTGGAAACATTTGTTTTTACAAGGAGAATCCTTTCTGTGGTTATTCTTTAACAGTCACTTAAAATTCGCTATTACTGCCAATATTCCCATCAGGAAATGCATTTGTGAAAAAGTTAATGGAAAATAAATGCCAAAGGGAGCAACCCTAGATAAAAAAGGAAGCTATCGCTTTCTGCAAAGATAGGAGCTGGATGGACTTGACGATATGACTCTGGGGGTTTTAAGATAGCTCAGAAGTGTTCACCTGGCAACAATTGTCAGGGAGTATGTTCCCTTCTTTTCATTACCACAGTGTTGGATAAAAAGGAGATTGTGGCTTTATGGGTGACTTGTAGTTGCAACTGATAACTAAAAACCTGATTTTAGATTAACAATGCTCAGGGTATCTTGTCATGGAGTGATTACAGATCCAGTTCTGTCGCCAATGGAATCCACCTGGAGCAATGGAGTACTTCACTGCATGGAAACCAGGAGGGGGAATAATTCCTGTTTGCTTTCAGCTGGACTTGTTTAAAAATGATTCATAGTACCAGAAAGCTGACCTGAGTGCCCACCTGAAACCAATACATTTCTGGTTTAGCTACAGAATTGGCTTCCAGTTGCAGGACTGGCACTTTTCAGTAAGTGCCATGGTTGGGTGCACCATGGCAAGGTTGGTGTGATCAGTGTTCCAGTTGTATTGTTTCCTTGAATCACATGGGACTTCTCTTGATCCCACTTAACAACAGAATTCCTAATGATTTCAGTGGGGTCAACATCAGGTCTATGGTAATATGGCACTGATGATCGGCAAAGAGAGGCTGACTTCCAGATAAACCTTTAGAAAACTGCAAGGCTCCAAACCTTGATTTTATCATCTTCCGAGGGTCAAACTGAGAACAGAATATTTTTAAAGAGCTTTATTAATCTGGCTGTGCTATGAAAGAGAGGCTCCAGCACATTTTTAGAGTCCTATTTTTAAAGCAGTTTCTTGGACTTGATGTCCCAGTTTCAGTACCCCTTTTTCTTAGGCTTTCTTTTTTGTTTTCCCTACCACCTATTCACTTTAGAAAGGATAGAATTGCTATAAATTAATAAAGCAGCAGGTAGAGTCAGCCTACTCTGACAGCTCTGCAGATAGACCTTTCAAAGATGTGTCTTTATTTATAGATGTGGTACTTGAGAATGATGGATCTGAACAGACGGGGTAATGGCCGCAATGAAGGTAGGTAACCTTGGAAGTGGCTGACTTCTTGTGTGCATGTTTTATAAGTATTACTTGAGTCTCACATAGACAAAGTTGTCTTAGACCCTCAACTAGGCACTTCAGGGTAGGTGCTTTTAATTCAATCCAATGAATATTCTCTTGTGGTAGCAATGCTGGGATAAATGTTCTGACTACAATGGGTAACCCCCCACCCACACACACACACACACACACACACACAAACTAGTTAATCAACCCAGGGTTGGCAAGTAGAAAGTCAAGCAGTGTGGCTGGAGTAACTAATGTGGAATAATAACAGCAATCTGAGCTTTCCATAGTTCTGCTGGGATAGCAGGACATAACATTCAGAGAGGGTGTGAATGGGAGTACTCTACCACCTTGGGCAGTGGCGTAGATTCCATGCTTTCTTTGCTTACTACATGTGCAGTCCTTTCCCAGGCTTTCCATAGACAGCCAGTGCCACAGCTCCTCCAGTAGTTTCTAACAGTACTAGGTAGTGCACAGCGCTGTTCTACAGCTCTTCCTGCCAATGGTTCATCACTGGTGTCACAAGAGGCAGTCACTTATTCCCCAGCAATGACTAAAGATTCTCTATGTGTAGGATGTACAGAGGCAAAGCTTCATCACAGCCTTGTAAGTGGATGAAGTATGCTTTCTTCCAGTTGTAACCCTTGTTCCCTGGCCTATATAGAGAAGGCTGGGCCATGACCCTTTGTACACCTAGTTACAGATGTGGCTATTACAGAAGCACACCCTTACCTTTTATATTCAGGGTTCAGATAATAAGAATTCAGCTGCAGAAGTTCCACTTGGGGATGGTCAAAGAGAGGATTTCGTATCTCTCCTCCCCACCCATTACTGCCACACAAGGAGAGTGCAAGCATGACAAGTGTTAGGTGCATAGGGGTGCAGGTATGGCTGCTGAGACTAAACATCAACCTCAATTTTGGAAGAAGAATCTCTAGACTGAAGGGGGAAGATCAGACATTGACAAAGTTAATTTTTCAGCTGCCTTTTGTTCTTGTTTCATTAAGGGAAATGAATATTTCAACTGAAGCTCATCCAACTACAGATTTGGAATTTAGCCCATTAACTAGTACATGCGTCAATGTCTGTCCTTTGTGTAGAGTTAATGATCTGTAGAGGGATGGAATTCTTTAGTTGCACAAGCTTTAACCATACGTAGAACAGAATCCCATTGTACAGCTAGCTGCAAGTGCCTGTGACAAGTGGAAAGTTTGTTCCCAACCTCGTTATTAGTGACCTTTGAGAAGATAACAGGGGCCATGCACAGGTATTATATTTCCACTAGGAGAATCATGACTCTGCTGGTAGAAACTAGGGACACTTACACAAATTACATTTTTCACACAATCTGACCCCTGAATGCGCTATACAGCCATGACGTAACACACACTTATGGCTGCAGAACACTTGACCAATCATGCAAAAAATTAACCCTTGATAAATCAGCTATTAACTTAAGTCACTACAGAGCACAACATGTTAGGGAACTTCTGTTCAGGTTCCCTCAAGGGTTAATTTTTTGCACCTTTGTGGGGCTGGGCTGGTGCTTGAAGCAGTGAGCAGCAGCCCAGCCCTGTCCCCAGGGCTATTAGCAGGGTAAGAAGGGGGAGGAAAGGGGGTAGCACACAGCTGCCAGCTGGGCTTTGCCATAGCTGGATCTGGAGGTGGGGAAACAGGGTGGAACAGAGCCCCCTTGCCTTGTGGGCCCCCCTAGCTGGGGCATTGGGTGGAGCTGGCCAGGCCCATGAAGCAAGGGGGCTCTGTTCCACCATCTTCCCCAGCTCCAGCTATGGCAAAACCCAGTTGGCAGCTGAGTGCTGCTCATGACAAGAGGCTTGACACAGGGGTGGGGGAAAGGAGCCCCCTCTTCACCCATAACCTGAGCCTCTTGACAGCAGCAGCATGCAGCTGCTGGCTGGGCTTTGCCATGGCCGGAGCTGGGTGGGAGTGACGGCTGGGGAGAGAGGTGGTTTGGAAGTCTCCTTGGAGGCTGCTAGAGCACCCCCACCTGCTGCCAGGGCTGGTGTAGGCAGGCTCCAGCCCCCGCAAGCCACACCCCCGCTTTGTGTAAAGTGCCATGAGTTAAAGTGAGGCCTCTAAATGTATGTGGGCACCATAGTAGTTCGTTCAGTTTCTTCCAAGAGAAATATGCAACCCCCCCAGGAGAAGGGCCTTCTAGGCATTAACTTGGGCAATATACCCTATGAGAGAGTTCCTCTTGGTAGACCTAGAGGAGCTAAACAGCAGCTTCCCCTGTGCCTTCCCCAGACTGGCAGTAGTAGCTGACTTAACTGATTTGGGTCAAACTGGTTTATGCAATGTCTGCCCCAGATTCCTTGCTGACATGCTCTCTGGCTGGATGGGGCCCTCTTCTCCATAGCAAGGTTGTCCCCTCCCCTCTGTTCCCTGGAAGGAGCTTGGCAGAGGCACAGAGCATCTGCCTGGCTTCTCCCTGCTAAGCAAGGCTTATTCTCCCCGCCCCTGTGCCTGTATGAAGACACCTCAACATTAGCTAGCAGACTACATGCTGGCTATGGTCCGTGCCATGACAGAGGCAGACATGCATTTTGGGGCTAATCAGCAGGTAGCTTAATGTCCTTCCTTGGAAGAGCTGTTTAAGAAGAGGTCAAATTAGTTAATGGAGAGAGGTTTTGTTTTGTTAATGGATTAATAAACACTGAGTTAGGGGTACTAAACATTCCCTGCTGGGTAGCTCAGGAGGTGGAGGAGGGAATAATCAGAGTAGGACCTGGCCACGCCCCCCTCAGCTCTGCCCTGTGGAAGTAAAGGGAGGGCTGCTCTAGCACCCCCTGACTACTAGCCTGAGGCACTGCAGGCAAGTCCCTGCATTTCTGGGATGCCTGTCTGGTTGCAAAACTGATTTAGCGTAGCCAGGTTAGACTAACCTGCAAAGATTGAATCAATTCAGGCTCAGGCTTTTTGAATGTCTGTCCCTAGCCACAGACCCAAGTCTGCAGAAAGTGGGTGAGCATTTCCCTGCAGCTCAACTCTTCCCTATCATGGAGGAGTTGAGCTGCTGCTGCCCTCCCTCCTTCAGCCTTCCTGGAGTGGAGAAGACAGGGCGACATTGCCCTGTTGCTCCTTCCCATCCTAGAGACTGGGACAGGAGGGGACAAATGGCTGCCTACTGCTCCCTGTGCATACCCCCAGATGGGAGTGTCCCTGGTCTGGGGAATGGGTTGCATGCCTTGCCCTGATGCTCCCTCCCCTCCTAGAGACCAGGAGGGGAGAGGAGGAGCAGCTGCTTGTTGCCCCTTATCTGTTCCTTGCACTAGGAAGGAAGACCTGCTGGGGAGTAGAGCAGCAGGAAGATGCTCCCTATACTTCCACAGACCAGAGTGATCAGGAGGGTCTGTGAGGAATGAAGCAACTGCAGTTTGGTCAACCTAGACTGAACACCTGTACTGCGCCCTCTCCCAGGAAGATTTGTAGAGGTGGAAGTATTCCCAGAAATTTCCACTGCTAGAAATGAATGCCTGTTCATACTTTAGTGTTACCCCTGCAGATTACCTAATATTATTCAAGAAGAACCTCCTGAGATCAATGTCTAGATCTTCTTCTCTGGTTGGGGCTTTCCCTAAATTTAGAATGCTAGTGCAAAGTAGGAAATATGATTACACTATGGAAATCTGTCGCCAATGGAGAGGTTTCTTGTCTCATAGCAACATTTAGAATAGATGTAACATTACTGACTTGCTCTGTTGAGTGTAGGAAGGTAAGTTTTAATTTTGATCATGCCTCGTTGAATCAGGATGTTCACCTTAACAAAAGTCAGTATATGCTTGCTCATGGTATTGAACTTCAGCTTTCCTAACATTTATTCAGAAGTGTTTTTTGGTGATGTCTTATCTGAAATGCATTTCACTAAGCTTAATGAACATGGTTCTGAAAATGTTTTAAGATGCACCTATATTTTGATCTTTTCCAAAAGCTATACTTGCTCCTGAGGCCTTCTCTTCAGGGAGGAGAGGCAACCCATATAAAACATGGCATAAACCCAGAGATATCAACCCCTACAGGTTTAAGTAATCCCATTTCATAGTTTCATAATTTCTAGGGTCGGAAGGGACCTGGGCAGATAATCTAGTCTGACCCCCTGCCATGGCAGAAAAGAGTACTGGGGGTCAAACGACCCCAGCAAGATGGTCATCTAACCTCCTCTTAAAAACCCCCAGGGTGGGAACCTGCACCACCTCACTTGGAAGCTGGTTCCAGACCCTAGCCGCCCTGACCGTGAAGTAGCGCCTCCTGATGTCCAACTTAAACCTTCCCTCTGCCAGCTTGTGACCGTTATTCCTGGTCACTCCTGGCGGCGCTCGGGGGAACAGGGACTCCCCCAGTGCCTGTTGATCCCCCCTGACTAGTTTATAGCAGGCCACAAGATCCCCCCTCAGCCTTCTCTTCTGGAGGCTGAACAGGTTCAGGTCCCGTAACCTTTCCTCATAGGACCTGCCCTGCTGTCCCTTGATCATGCGAGTGGCCCTCCTCTGGACCCTCTCGATGCTGTCCACATCCCTCTTAAAGTGCGGCTCCCAGAACTGGACGCAGTACTCCAGCTGCGGCCTGACCAGTGCAGCATAGAGGGGGAGGATCACCTCCTTGGTCCTGCTTGAAATGCATCTGTGGATGCACGACAAGGTACAGTTGGCCTTCCTAGTCGCCTCCCCACACTGC